GGGAGCAGCGGGTCCCGGCCCCGCCGTGCTCCACCTCCGGGCTTCCTGCCCCAACGCCCGCCACGTTTTGCGGGCTTTGTCCCAAAACTCCGAAGCCCCGCGCTGCCTGGAAGGAGCGGGTGACTGTTTCTTCCATCTCCTCTCCGGACCCCTCTGCTTTGTTGTGGGTTTTTTTGGCCTCTCCTTCGGCGCTGCTTTGTCCCCTGCGGCCGAGGGATCTCTTACCCCTAGGAAACTCCTAGTTAGTAACTCCTGGAAAGTCCCTCACACCTGTCGGTGATGGTTTGGGCTGGTCCTTTGTTCCGCGGGGCAGCGGGAGCCCTGCCCGAGCCCCCCGGGGGTCCCGGGGTCTCCGCAGGCAGCGGGAAACTTCTAGGTCAAATAAACATAAATCTTTCGGCTCGTCTCGGAGTCAGGAAGCCTGGAAGGAGACGCTTACAAACCATCTGATGAGAGGGATGCTTCGGAAACATCGGTATTGATGTAACACGCAGCCGTTTCCCCGCGTTTATACAAAGTTCACGCCAAGGCATCAGGACGCTTTACAAAGAAACTGAACCTGCTGGGGAATGCTTCCTTAGGAGAGAAACGCTTTTTATCATTTTCTTGCAAGGAAGGTGGTGACTTAGCGTTTGGGCATTGCCGAGCTAACATTTCTCTTCAGCCTGAACTTCAGGGAAACGGTGATAATGAGGAGGATGAGCCTCCCTGGTGTTTCAGATGGTCGTATGCCCTGTTCCCTTTCCTCCTTTAAGTGAAACTGGGACTATTAGGTTTAGTTTTTTCAGGGCACTTTTGATTTCCTCAGTGGCTACTTTGTGTCAGACAACCAACCAAGTACCAAATTCCTGAGATTTGGGAAGTGGTCATAGGATACAGTGATTTAGTCTTCTTTAGTAAACAGCAGCACATTCATGGATTGAAAGGAAAATTCAGAAATCTTCCTCCGTTTTGTCTCCTGACAAGAACATCTGTGGGAGCTGGAAAAAGTCTGCAGAAAGTCCTTGGGAAGTAGCAGCTCTTTATCCAGCTGTTTATTTTTAGAAACACAGTAACACTACCTTACCAGAGACCTGAATACAAATAGCTAGAAGTTAAGTGGGGTGTTTTTACTCTTGTAGTTGGTAGATGAAACGCATTAAGTTTTCAAGGCAAGAGAACAGTTAATACGAATTGTTGGGTCGTTGCAGTCATTATGAATTAAACAAAATGTCTCCAAGCTGTTTTCATCAGCTTAAGTCTGCACTGCAACATTAGAGGAATTTCCCAGACTTCAAAGGTTACAAATATACTTTCATCCAGCAAAGAGTGGATTTTGGTAGAAACAGACTCTCACTTCCATCATCTGAAACCATGACCTATGGAAAAGGAAGATAACTCCAAGATACAGAATTAACCTCTTAAAAAACATGAGAGAGCAGGCCAGGAAAACCCATGGTCCCAGCCTGCCATTTCAGGTTGACAGCCTGAAAATAGCAAGAAAAACCCCCTTCTTTACAGTTGCCTGACTAAGGCATGCATCACAGACCAGGTAAATAAAGCAAGACATATATATACCCTAGTACTGAATCCCTGGGTCTTATTATTCACACCAACACAGTCTGTATAACCACAGACAGCACAACCTGATACTGTATGGTGTCGTGCTGCTGTATTTGACTAGTTTGAAGTCACTGCTGCAAGCTGAGGAAGGCAGTGGGCACAGCTAGCTGTGGCTGGGTACCGAGTGGCAGGACTGGCAGTACATTTTACTTTGTTGTCATGTATACAAAAGCCTGGATAGTTTAGTTTCTGGGCTATCTCAGTGCCCGGAATGGGGAAAAATTAAAGCTATGTAAATATTGTCATTTTTTCTAGATTAAATATAATGGAAAGCACTTGTTTCAACCACACCATTGTTGTGAAAAAAAATAAAAAAAATAAAAAAATCAGCTAGAGCTTTGTCTAACCTGGTAGATTAACTGTATTAAACTACAGACTGAGATTAGTTGTGTTATTCAAAAGAACCACATTTCTGTGGCAACTTCAAATTGCAAAACAGATTCTTCCTGTTAGATTACCCGAGAACTTCACAACATTTTTGTTGTTCCACCCCAGCATCTCATTGTTACTCCTCACATTCCTCAAATAATAGTTAAGAAGAAAATAATAGATTGTAAAGGAAAATTTTAAAACATGGAGCAATTCCCAGGTCCAGGCACACCAGCTGTCCCCAGGGTAAACTATCTCAGCAGTACTGAAGGAAATGGAGAAAAGGTGCTGAGAGCAGGACTGCCTGGGGACCTTTCATGGTATTACCAATGCAGTTTCTATTGACTTCTCCAGGCCACACCCCCATCATTGGCTTTTTCACTTTAGCATCATCAGAAGCATCTAAGTCATGTGTATTAAATACTCATTAAGCTGACTGGAGCTGTGCAATTTTTCTTGCTGCATTTAAAAAACATTATTAAATACATTTTTTTTTCATTGGAGAAA